GAGATAAATAAGAAAGTGAAGAATAAAAGACAAGAAAATAAGGAATTAAAGAAGAAATGAATATAGAAGAAGAAGAAAGTTGGAAATGGATATAGAAATAAAGAAGTGAGAATAAGATAATAAGAAAGAAATGATAAAAGCGAATATAAGAAGGAAATGAATATAGAAATGAAGTGAAGAAGTAGAAAAGTGAGGAATAGAGTTATGAAAGTTGAGAAGAAATAAGGAAAGAGATAAATAAGAAAGTAAAGAATGAAATATAAAGAAAGAAGGAAGTAAAGAAGAAATAAATATAGAAAGACAAGAAGGTTGCAAAGGGATAATTGAAATGATTCCAAGAGACCAGTATAGGAGACCGGCTCGAGGAAGAATGAGCGCTCGGAGTCCGGGCACTGCCTCGAGCGCTCCCCCCCACACTTCCCCCACTCTAGAGTCCTGCGCCACGGCAATTTCCATTACTTCTGAATATTCTTCGCCAGCATTTCTGATTTCCAAGTGTTAACATCTAACTTTGTTGATTTCATTATTTTAATATTCCAAACACTTAATTTATTAATATTCAATTTGAATTAATTATTGACAGGGTCTGCAATCGATAATTTCATACACCTTGAAAACTCCTTCTTTGTTGATTAGTGATTGCTTTTTGCAGTAACCTATTCATCAGTCTTACTATTGCTTCTTTTTCTTTACCCACCTTTGATAGAGGTTTCCGCTCATTTCTACCTGAAAATCCTATTCACTCAAACATGTATTTCTCTTTATTTTAATGAACTGGGTCAACAGGAATATTTTTTGTGTGACAGAGAAGAGCAATTGCAATGTTCGTTGCGTTGAATATGTTCGAATAAAAATTTAGAAAAGTATAAAGAATGGAAAGAGAATTATGTAGAAAAATGGAAAAAGTGATAAATACAAATTTTTGTGAAATGGGCCCCTCCCCGCCCATTTCCGTGAGGCACTACCACTCCATAAAGGAGCAACTGCCCCTCCGTGATCCAACACCTTACCTTTGTAGTGTTAACCCCTGAGCCCTGAGACTCAAGGGAAATCCAAATCGGAGATAAGGATAAGGATGCAGTTAGCCAACAATTATTATAAACTATCAAAGCTGCGTACAAAGACTTGGACCAAGTCGTCTGCAGATCAAAAACGCACAATCTATGTCCAGCCTCCACGGCCAGTGAATCGGATCAGCTGATAGTGACGCAGAGTGGGGCAAGGTTGAGTGATTGACATTTTGATTTGATTGAGGGCAGAAGGAATGCAGCATGGGAATAAATGTAGAATGGATATCAGGTTTAAATTTTCTTATGTCGACTGATATCACAAGAGAATGTTACAAAAGAAAGACTTGCAAAAGAATTAAACGGAACAGGATACTTTTATTACGAAAACTGCAAGATTTTTCGTTTATGCGATCTAGGTGGAATATAAAAGTGGAGAAGAAATGAAGAAAGAGATAAATAAGAAAGTGAAGAATAAAAGATAAGGAAATAAGGAATTAAAGAAGAAATAAATATAGAAGAAGAAGAAAGTTGAAAATGGATATAGAAATAAAGAAGTGAGAATAAGATAATAAGAAAGAAATGATAAAAGTGTAAGAAAGAAATGAATATAGAAATGAAGTGAAGAAGTAGAAAAGTAAGGAATAGAGTTATGAAAGTTGAGAAGGAATAAGGAAAGAGATAAGTAAGAAAGTAAATAATGAAATATAAGGAAAGAAGGAAGTAAAGAAGAAATAAATATAGAAAGACAAGAAGGTTGCAAAGGGATAATTGAAATGATTCCAAGAGACCAGTGTAGGAGACCGGCTCGAGAAAGAATGAGCGCTCGGAGTCCGGCCACTGCCTCAGCGCTCCCCTCTACTCCCCGGCTACTCCCACTCCCGAGTCCTGCACGACTGTTAGTAGATACTTCTAAATATTCTGGACCAGGATTTCCGATTTTTAATTGTTAATATCTAATTTTATTAATTTCATTAATTTTTTCAATATTCCAAACACGTAATTTATTAATATTTCAATTTGAGCGTCATTTATTATCGACATATATCAATTTCGATTCAACTTTTATCTACTCTGTATACGTTGCGAGTTTTTTATGTATCTTAAATTTTATATTTTGAATAAATTCGAAAGGAAGTGAACGTACAATAATATTTAATAACATTTGGAAAGTTTTATTAAACGTCTCGAATTTTCAATATTTCTCTGCAACTGATTTTTTTCTTTATTCTCGCTGGTTTTCCAGCTTTTCGTTAATCGCGAAAGTTTGAATATTTGTTCTTCTAGTAGCGGCAGAGATGAGTAGGCCGATTTTCACTGAATCGGTTTTCGTGGTCCGAAGTTGATTTCAGTATTGCTATTGCGGTGGCGTTACATGTAACGCCCAGCAAGTGGTGCCCCCTTAAGCGGCCAGTATTGGAACTAGACTCACGTGTAACAGTTCTGGCACCATAGTCAGCATAGAATTGCTTCAACGTCCATTAGGTGGAAATCTATTTTACAATAAATAAAGTTAAAAGAATGTTGATTGGTAAAGGATATTGAAAGGACGTCAATCTGAAGTTACGTATTTCGCTGGTTTTTATTATTTCCAAATCTCGCTTAGAACCTGAAGAAATTCTTTCACAATCTAATAATTAATTTAATCGTAATTAAGTGTAACATTAACGCCTCGACAACGACGAAGTAATAGATTATAGACTTTTAAGCTAAGATCCTTGCCCAGAGACACACGTTATGATATGCATGTTTATATATATATTATACATACATTATACATACATATATTGTATATATGATATATATACTTATAATACTTATATATTTATATATATATATACTTAAAATTCTTGACTTACGAGGGCATATAAATAAAATCTTATTGCTTAATATTCTTTTATATTTAAATTACATATTGATGATATGTTTTTGTAGTCCCAATGATTAATATGCACAAAGTACGCTTTTCCGCTTTCTTTCTTTCATCGTTTTTTTTTTATCTTTTGTGCAGCCATGTCTCCCAGGCGAGACACGTTTTATGGACGGATTAATCCGGTTGTCCACGGGACATTTCGAGAATCATTTGCGTCTTCCTCAAGAACAAATATTAATTCCTCTCTTCGTTACCATCTCCACTTCCTCCCTTATACTTTTCCCACACATTTTACGATTATCCCACGTCATTTCCACCTGTCACTTGCGGTTCCAAAAAGTGGTCTCGCGTGTGTGGCCACGTGCCATAACCTTCCTCGTTCAGAAAGCAGTGGACTTCCGGTGGACGCTTCGTCGACTCTCGAAAGGTGTCCCGCGCACTTCCGGCAGCACTTGACGAGGCCTCAGATTGTCGTAACCCGGTGCGAGAAACGAACGAATTAAAAAAAAAAAAGGTAAAAAAATAAAATGAAAAGAGGGGAACAAGGAGAATGTTGATCGAAAAAAAAAAAAAAAATGGTGGACAGCCTCAAAATCATACTCTTGAGCTGTGATATCGCCGAATTCAAATTCGCACGAGCCGGACTACACAAGAGTACACATAGAAACGTCTTACGGAACAGTGGACGGTTAAAGGAATATTGGAACACGTGGAGAATGATGATCGGTACCATAAAAATAATGAATATCAAAGGTAAGAAAGCAAAGGGGAAAGTAAATCGTTACGTACACTCACGTGAATTGTCAATCGCAAAAAAAAAAGGAATAATAAAATTTATAAATAACGCGGGGACGATTTTCTACTCAAGCCCCGCCATTCACTGGATTCACAATAATTCACTCACTATAATTAGATTAATAATCGTTTAATTATCGCATCTCGAAAACCCGCTTCTTCCCACTCTTTAATCACCACCCATCCCGCCCCCCTCCCAAATTTCTAAAAAGAGAACACCCCCCACGTGATTCTCACCCCCACCCCACCCACTCGTGCCGCTACGATTTTCTTTTTATTTTTATTAACTTCGTCTGTATATCTATACATTTCCATTCATTCACTTTCCACGTGTTCATTGTTTTGTTGGAGGTGGGTGGTGGGTGGGTGGTGCGGGGGAGGATGTTCGCTTCTTCGATATCTCGTAACATATGTGACGTCACTCTACGCACAGACCTAAGTATATGTGTAACCGCCTATGGCTGTATGCGTGGACATGGACGTATGAGTGTGTGTACGTGTGTGTCTTAACGAGCTTCAAAATTCTTTTTTTTTCATTTTTCATTTTCTCATAAATATCACAATAAATTTCACACTGAAAGCTGCCGATGCTTTTACCTATGTAGCTAAAATGAGAGTTTTCACATACGTTTTCACGATAGCGCATATGTTTAACATACTCGCGGGATCTCGAGAACCGATTTTTCTTTCTACCTTAAATTATGCATCTTTCGTTTCTACCTTCACTTTCCGCTTTACCTTGGATTTATATCGTGAAAAAATTGTCGAGCATAACCCGAAGGGTAGGAGCGCCTAGGTAAAAATTGACCAGGGTAAAAGTTTCAAAGTAAACCAGCAGCTTCGAAAACAAAATCAAAAATCAAAAAAGCTCCTACGCGACAATCTCCTCTCCAAGCGAAACGTACGTTTTAACATGATTCCGTCCTGTGAACATCACGTATTCACGTTCGAGATTACATTACATTCCCGTCACCTTATCACACAGTCTCACTCAGAGTCCCATCGCAAAAAAAAAACTACTAATTTTATCAAGTCACATTATCACTGAAATACAATTTTTTTTTCCCATAAAAGCTCTTTCGTCCCTCCGTTCTCTGTATAATAAAATTCCAATCCTCAAGCTGACAATTCGTTAATTCGTTCATCCTGCTCCTCGCGTAGTCTTGCTGTTAACTTTTTGGTTCGATACTGTTTAAAAATACTTTCTTTTTTTTTCAATTTCAATTCCCCCCCCCCCTCCCCGCGATCCTCTTTCAACAACTTGCGCTCGTCTAATTGTAAATAACAATAGTACGGATGGAGTGTGAACCCATTCAGGATTTGCACAGCGATTAACGTCGATACACAATAACACGTGGACTCGTTGAACTTTTCCTCCGACTCCCATTAACCATGCGGGATTAACGTGAATTATTAAAAAGCTAGATCCTCTCGTAGATCAAAGTGTCGTGAGGTCGTTTAAAAATCTTTGGATCGATATTGACATCTTTGGTGATAACCGTAATCGTCGTGATCGTGACAATAGAATTTCTCATCCACGCCCCCCTCACTTGCTCTCGCGACCAAAATTCATTCCCATCCCGCAATGCAAAAATCATTATGAGAAAGAGAAACGTCCCAGAGGGCTCTACGACGGAGCAAACAATAAGCGATTAGCGTGTTTTTTTTTTTTGAAAAAAAAAAAAAATTTCTTAACGCGTCTTCGTTACGCACGTTATTTCTATACTTTCTCTTGTTTCTGTTACTGTTGCTTGTTCTACGTTTATCATTTGCTCCTGTTGTCGTCGCTGATCGTCGCTCTGTCTTCGGTCGTTTTCGGTTAAACGCGAAACGCATCGTTTAGACGCTCTTAACTACCCCCGAACAATTAAACCTTATCACTTGTAATACGTTATTAACCTAAAATACTCTTACGCGAATACCACTCTATGTATAATATAGATGTATATATATATGCCGTGTACGTATATACATATATATACCACCTGTTAAGTATATATATACATATGTAGTCTCATATATGTATATATATACTATATATAGCTATATAATATAGCGTTACTATCTACTGATATGAGTTAGTTCACTTGTAAAGCACTTTAAATCCAACCTAGAGATACTCGTCGTATCGAATTAGAACGTCCGCGCTCATTAAGTCGGGATAATTCGAAAAATCAACGAGCTTTTCGTTTATCCTCGTCAATTGTTCCTCCCTTACGTTTTACGTGTTTCCTTGGTATCTTTTTGTAACTTCTTTTTCTTTTCCTTCAATTTTCTCGCCGATTTACATTTACTTTTACTTCGCTGCCGAAGTGTGTGTCCTTGCGTTCACGCTCGCTCGAACGTTGAGTGGACCGATCGCGCATTATTTTCGGGGCAAAGGGGGGCAGGGCTGGAGACGACGTCTAATAGGCTGGGCCATTGGATTAAGTAGTAACGATAATTATCAAGAAATAATACACAGGAAATAATTATAGTTAATTGGGTCGCGTAGATTTAACATCCTCGACTTGATATTCATCACGGTCAGTGGGCGGTTCGCTGCTCAGTAAATGGGCGGTCCGTTTACAACTGTAGGCGTGTACTTTGATATGTAAAGTTTTGAGAGGGCGTGTCGATGCACGAATTCCCCGCGAATTTAGGGTCCAACCAAACGCTGAGCGATCAATCGAAATTCGAAAATTTTTTTTAGGGTGACCCATCGGGGATAGATCGGACCGGAGAACCGATCGTGATGTCAAAACTACGCATGTACGTCAATCCCGTTAATCATTTGATACTTGGATCATCGTGAATCGCTCCAGAAATTCAATTCGATACAGCCAAGTGGATGCCAAGTGCCAAATGTTAAGGGAAGCGCGAGTAAGGCCTCACTCGGATTAGAACTTAGGCTATACTTTCCATCATTTTTTTATAATCACATTTGATAGGTTTCGAACTTAAGTACGTGATTCGTGGTTGCAGGGTGCGTTTGTTGGTATCGTTGACGACTTATTATTAGTAAGTCGTAAAAGCAAGGAAAAGGGGCGTGTTCAAATGATGGGAAAGGGAGGTGCAACAAGCTAACGGGAAGGGCTAACGGGAAATGAGCGGATAAATAGGAGGAGCGAAACGCACGAAACGGCAAGTACTTTAAACGCTTGTTAACTATACTAACGGTGTACCTGATATGTACCGATCGAAGCTACCGGAGCCTCGCAATCACAGGGCGCTGCAGTCGCTGCTGAGTTTACTTTCACTGAGGAATTTACCATTCCGTCGATACAAAACGACGCGCAGGGGGCGGTTCAAAGTTTAAATTATCCTCAGTGATTACAGGACACGCCCCGTGACCTCGTCCTGACCTTTATCTTCTCGAAAATAGAAAAATACGAGTGTGTCAGCTACGCTATCGTAGGTAGAGACGTGTCGTATAAGCTACGACTCGATGGATTACGATGATAAATACAATTGCTACCGATATTATCAATAATTATTCATTAATTCGACTAATTGTAGTTAATAAACTCTTACTTTTTTTTTTCTCAAACTTTCCCTATTCCACTTTCATCCTGTCTTATACCCCTATCCCTTCCCTCTCCGATTTCCACTACTCCCTTACACGCAAGCGCACGCGTACGCACTCCCGTATACGCAGAGACACATTTGCACGAGTACACGTCAAAGTTTGCGTTTCGATGACAGAACTGTAGTTATTATGAAAAATCAAAATAGTACATGTATCAACAATCATTATGTTTCAGACTACAATCCAGTGATTATCAACGCTAATGACTACTGGACCGTAAAGGCGGAGTCTAGATTATAGATGGGCGGGGCCAATTACGTCACATGCTCTCATAAGTTAATAGTGACCAACTTGAACATTAAAAATCGCTGGATTGTGAGAATAAAAATAAAACAAAAAATTCCATCCTACTTCGCAAACACACACACACACGCACGTACGCATACATCTCACTCTTTCCCCCCATCTTTCTATTTCTTGCTATTAATTGCGGATGCGTGTAACAAATGCCCAGTGATCGGCACGGATAGGTCCTCTGGTACGTAAATTAATGCTCATTCGGATGGATGAGTCGCGCGATTACCCGGCGGATCTTATCGGGCTACGCCTATCATGTGACTTTTTACCCGACCACGTGAATTTTACGTATTCACATTAAACGTGCGATAATCATGTGGGCGAAGCACACACCTGTATAAATTGGTCGACGTGCTCGCCAATTGGTTCGCGCCACGGTAACAGCCGGTGATGCCGCCCAATTCGCTGACCACGAGTCTCGGTCCGATTTCCGTTAGTTCGATGTTCGCGCCACCGTAGCGCCACGCTTCGGTAAGATTTCTAAAGCTCCGGCAGAAATCGGATTGAGATTAAAAAAGTCCTTGCGGGCCGCGCGGCTGGATTGACATTAGACGATAGGATGTGTGACTTACGGTAAACAGTTTCATAGCATGACTCGAGACCAACAGGAAGGCACTTGGGCAAAATATGTGCCGAGTTGGCCGCCGTTCTAGTTCACACGGGGCGCATGGTTCCCGCATGCGCATGTAATATCGCGCGCACAATTGCGTTTTTGTGTTTCTCTCTATCTCTATATCTCATCTGTGTCTTCGGCGTGTGTCTGTATATCGGTGTAAGATCGCATTAACTCTGTCAGTAGCTTGACATGTGAATATGTTACTGTGTGTATGTCTGCACTTATCTCCGTATGTGTTTCAGTTTACTTACAATTTCTCGCTACGACTTAACCCTATGATATGTTCACATTCGTTATATTAATTAAACACTTTCTTTACCGTGATAACGGATTTTTCTCTCTTTTTCCCCCCTCTTTATAATAAGTTCAGCCCGCTCTATTTTTTTTTAAATCATTTTTCACACGTCGCCATTTCATAATTCCCGTTTCCAACCCTGACCTCTTAAGCTTTCTTTTTTCATTTCATTCTTACATGATTTTTTTTTAATTTTCCTAAAACGTCGGGATACGTAATACCAAACTCGACAAACTTCGTTTCGCCATTCGAATAGTGAGCCTGCGCTCTGAAATTCTGTCTTCACCCGAAACAGACGATTCGACTCTGTCGGTTCCCTGATCGTGACGCAGCTCTTTGCCGAGAACGCAATCCTAACGAAATAACCCCCGTCATCCCGACGCTGATGAGAAACATAAATACACGCTTCTTAGGGCACCTTTGGTATTAAGCTTGTTCGTCGTGTTCGTAAACATGTATATATTAGTGCGGCGAATAACGCGCGCTGTGTTCATCAAACCCACCCACCCCTTCCCCAACCCCCCAAAATTCCCATCTCATTACAGTTCCAAAATTTGCCGTACACTGAAAAAATTCGCGTCTCCACTTTTTTCCCCCTCCTCGTGAATCCTCGTCGCCTCGCAGAGCTCCTCAGCTACTCCGATTTTTCCAACTGGACTTCAGCGACTCTGCTGTCACCTGCGTGTGTACGTTAAAGCTTCACCTAGTCTTTCGCGATCAATAAAAAACTTTCGTCAACCCTTCTCGACAAATCACGGTCTTTGTTACATCGACCTTTTTCCTTCTTTCTTATCCCCTCCCCTCCCCCCTCCCCAACCCTACCCGTTGTGTCGTCGCCCCTCCCCAGATACAAGATTTTTAACCTATTAATTCGTAATACAAGTGTGTAATTTGCGGTGTGTCGTGACATTAACAGTGCCTTTTTACATGCCAACGAAATTCTACACGACTTCCGGCGAACGCTATTGCTGCAAGTGCAGTGCGCCTGTTTCGCCATCTTGCGTCGATACGCGAAAGCGGCGCGATCGGTTTATTCGCTTTTACGGATCCTACGGAATGATGTCCGATACGATATTACAATAAATAATTATAAACATAACGCCACTCGCATAGGGCCCGCCTTTCAATAAATACGGTAAATTTTATCTAGGGCCCCTTTTTCGCACGTCGCGTCATGCACTGGGTCCACTTTTACCACGCAAAACGCCATTATGCTCCCTGCTTGTATCTAGTGGTACTTTAGAGTAGAACTGGCCAATCGATGGACGCTTCGGGCCCAGGAACTCAGCGAGAGATCATTTATAAGCAGAAGCCTCCCTAAAGTACCCAGAAAAGGACGTGGGTCTAATAAAATAGACAAAAATAATAATAACAGGGTAAGTCCCAAAAAATATATCTAGGACCCGCGCTTAAGGATCACCGCCGTATTAGCGAATCGCGCTATTTGGTCAGTCGCCATCTTTCATTCCTAATCATTATCGCTCCCGTCTTTATCATTGATCCCCAAATACTTTCTATCGCAGTTTCCATGCCGCCGCATTTCAAATGATTCTTCAACTTTTTTTTTTACACCCATTTCCCTACTGATACCGAAATCACATTCGCCAAGTCGCTCTTCATTGTTGCATTCTTTTTTCTTCTCTCTTCTATTTTTCCATCCACCCGTGACGTCATCATTGCTGAAATCCTCTCTGCGTTTCACTGTACCACTCTTCTCACATACCGTTGACGTCGATCTTAAGATTGCCCATTCTCCTCTCCCTTTGATCCCTGAAATCATACCAAAGTGTTTAAATTACGTCGGATCGTGGCGCCATCTGTGCTCCCGTCTCGGAACCACAGCGCGCAGTAGTCGCCATGGAGAAACTACAGTCCAAGGAAGGCTTTGGAAGGAAGGAAGTCTAGACGAGCGTTGCGTATACACCGATCGAATTTCTGCGACCAACTTTCTAGGTGACAAGGATCGATCAATGCTACATAATATTAAAGACCAGCCGTGCGCCATTATGACTAATTGACGTGGAAATAGAAAATCGTAAAAATTCAATTCGTCGATCACGTCCTATTACGAGGGCGCACGGAGTGAATTTAATATTGATTGCACGAAAGTTCGTTAGAGATAGATTAAAATGCAAAGTAATAAAAAAATATATATATATATACTTTGTGAAGAGCAATCACTTTTGGTGCAAGATATCTCTAGGGGAGTGACAGGAGAGCAGTGGGGGAGAAAAGTGAAACGATCAACAAAGCGGAAAAGGGGGAATTTGAGGAACGCAAAGAAATTTAAGCCAAATACCAACCGTATTAAATAAAAAAAAGTCACGGAGAGACGAATAAATTTTTTTTTAAGGAATTCAATTTTTAATTACCAAACACGGTTATTCTAGTTCGGGATACCCACTGTGTTGCGATTTCATTATATAGTTTTTTTTTTTCCCTCAAGAACACAAACGTTTCCTTGACTTGACTTGACGCTTTCGTGCAGACGCAGTGCTTGGAGGGAAATCATCAGTCAGGAAAAAAAGAAGCTCGAGTTGGGACAATAAAGGAAAGAAGTAAGAAAGCAAGATCAGCGAAAAACGCAAAGAACAAAGGAAACGGCGAGCAGGAAGTCAAACACGTAAGGAACGAAGGAATCGAATAAACTCAAAGAAAAGATTCTGATATTCTTTCAAGTTAATCATAGAACGTGGTGATTTTTTCTTTCGCTTCATAACCAAAGAACGGACTCGCAAATCGCAATCAATTTCACAGAGGACAATTCCTTCCCGCATTTCATTTGCCGAGCGTTGCCGTACAGCACGTGACAAAGGAAAGAACAGATCCGTGAGTGAGAGAGAGAGAAAAAAGTCACCAGCGTCGGCCGATCGAGCGCAATGAAAAATTAGAATCGAAAAATCGGGTGACGCGTCGCCCGTGAGAGTCGGCGAATCGCGATCAAAAAGATCGAGGCAGATATTCAATAGTGACGTCACGACAGTCCCAGTCGTGTATGTATGGTAAAACAGCCAATAAAAGTCCATTACTATTAGTCACATGGTAATTGGCACGGTGGGGGTAAGAGCACGCTATCGACTAAATGCCAAGCAACCATCGACCACCCAACCACCATGGTTCGCTGATATACATTATGTACACACGCATTCGCACGCAGAATGTCGGCGATACAATAAAATCACGCAATGCGTAAAAACGAAGCCTTTACGCTTTAACATTGATTCTCGAACTTCGTATAATCTGCCTCGATGGTTCGCCGGACTTGCCACTCGTGATTTTCCGAGAGAGAGAGCGAGAGAGAGAGATAGATAGAGAGACGGGAGCTGGGAATAGAGAAACAGACATTATTAACCGTGTATAAAGAGTGGAAACCTACTTCGATCCAGACATTTGTAAAGCCCACCTCGGCCATTTTAGACTTTGCGTATTCGATTCGTATCGCTCCCCGGTCTGAGGAGAGGAGAAAGGATCCTTGGAGTGTGGCCATTGCTTGGGCCGCGTAGCGAACGTCCTGATATTCGACAAAGGCCACCGGAGAGCCGCCCTTCGTGTGCATACGAAGCCGACAGAAACCAGGAAAACTGTGCAGAGACAAATCAGAGAGAAAGCGTACAGTAAACGTGCTTTTCTTTTTTCTTTTTTTTTCTTTTCATTTCTTTTCTTTTTTTTTTTTTTTTTTTTTTTTTTTTTTTTTTTTTTTTTTTTTTGAGGTTACGTTGCTTCGCGATTACAGGGGATACCCGGAGACTTCATTGATGCTACGTGGGTTCGTGGCGCAGTGCGTGAGACAGCAGATAGACAGTGGAGTAGACGAGGGAGAGAAGAACAGAGGAGGCAGACACCTACGGCAGTGCGTGTTTTGCTAATAAAGTGAACTAACTAAGGACTTTACTTGTTGGACGTGAAAATGTCAATTTCCATCGAATGCACGTGAAACTTGCGGTAGCCAACGTCATACGGATTTCCCATATTGCATCCCCAAGTACGCATCTTCACGAGCGCGGCTATCGTTTAAATCAAACAAAACAAAAGTCGTATTTTTTTCTTTTTTTCAATATATTTCTTTTTTTAAACGATCGCCGCATTCCCGCCAATCGTCGGGCACGTGACGCTATCCTACTGCGGTGCCAATGTACATTGTGCACAACGGGAGTCATCGGTTGACGAATCTTTTTTCTTTTATTTCGTGCGTTCGGTCGCTTTCGCGCGAAGGTTCTTATCGAATGGGGCGACGCGG